TTTTGTTCAGATAGAGTGGGACGGGGAGAGAGGAAGAGAGAAACATTGAGTGGCTGCCACCTGCACAACCAACAAGGGCCGGGGACAAACTGCAACCGAGGTACGTGCCCTTAGCGGGAACCGAACCCGGGTCTCTCTGGACCACAGGCCGACACTCTAACCGCTGAGCCAAGCTGACCAGGGCCTTCACGTATTTCTTTAGCCGAAGCCACAGGTCAGTTGCCACAGGTCAGCTGTGAGGTGAGGGGGTGGAGCTCAACCTTCTTAGCAGAGCGTCAGCCGCTGCCTTTTCCACCCCGGCTGGGGAGTAGTATGTCCTCCCTCCTCCAGGGCCTGAGGCCGCTTCACTTCCAACTGCAGTTCCTTCTGGAGGCAGAATGTCCGCTGACGGGGCCCTCGATGTTCCTCGTGGTGCTCGGGTCTGTGACGCTCACCGGAGGGCCCGTCTCTGTCTTCAGCAACCGCCCTGCAGCCACTCCCTGCTCTGTGCCCTAACGCATTCAGTCTCACCCCTCCCATGGTGAGCCCAGGCCGATGCCAGGCTCGGGACGCGCCCATCTTCCTGCCTGGCTGAGAAATGGGATGAACAGGGGAACCAAACCTCCAGGGAACTCATGCCCTGGGTGCCAGCAGCACCCACTCAGCCTGTGCCCACAGGTGCCGCTGGATGCTGGCAGGCCCGGTGCTGTCGGACAGTTTTTGTCCAGGTAGCTCAGGGTGGGCTCTGATGAACCTCAGTCAGGGGGAAGCAAACATTTCTGACAAGGGCCAGACGGTAAATGCTTGGGGCTCTGTGGGCACGTAGTCTGTGTTTTGCGGGCTCAGCTACCAGCAGCCCGTTGCATGAAGCCCACTGTGGGCGGCTTCTCCCTGGAGCCCATGCCCTTAAGGGTCCCTCCCTGCTCTGAGCTGGGCTTTGGGGGGCTCTGTGACTTCCTGAGGCCCCGGCTAAGCCAGTCAGCACATAGGGTCTCTGGCCACTTGGGCACTTGCAGCCACCAGCAGGGGACCCCCAGAGCCGCTGCAGGGACACCGTCTACCTCTGGTCACCCCACCTCTGGAGGTGGGGTGTGTGAGATGACACATTTCCTTCCTGTTTAAGTCGGAGCTGGTTTCTGCTGCTTTCCTGGCTGCTCTGAGCAGGACCTGGCCGCAGTGGTGAGCACCCAGGGGCCAGGCCCCCGCTCAGCACAGCTCCCTCCAGGACAGCCCCTGGGCACCCCCAGATGCACCGGCTAGGCTGCCCTGAGGGGGGTGAGGGTGCTCACACCCTGTCGGGATGGTGCTGCTGGTGGCCTCGGGGTGGTCTGCAAGGCAGGGTGGAGCTGGGGGCCTCCACCTGGGCATCTTAGCAGAAGGGATGGGGACACGCGTCTGAGGCCGGGGCCAGCTCAGCTCCACCACTGTCCTCGGCTTGGGCGTGTCTGACGCAGCTGCGCCGGGGCAGAGCCTGACCTTTCACAGGCCCAGTATGACTCGGGGCTGGCCTTTGGGGTGTAATAGATGACCTTTAGGTGACTGCAATGATTATTTTTCTATCAATTTGGCCAGGGCACAGGGGGCCCAACTGTTTTGCTAAACATTATTCTAGGTGGCTCAGTGAGGGTGAGACCAGCATTGGCGTTGGTGGACTCGGGAACGAAGGAAGCTGAGCTGGGACCTCCTTTCTGGCACCAGGCGGGGGTGCTGCCGGACCCCCAGTCTCTGACCAACAGACAGCAGGTTGCGGGACCTCTCAGCCCCAGAACCACCTGAGCAGTTTCTGCAAACTTCCCTTCTCCCTCTGCATGCTGCTGACTGTTCTCCAGACAGGTCTGCTGAGCACAGAGACTGAACAGGCAGAGAAGCCTCGTACGACGCTGCCCCTGCAGGCCACAGAGCCACTGCTCCGGGGGTGACACGGTGGACCGTAGAGACCGGCATGCAGCTCTGCCCTCTGGCTCTGCCTCAGTCTTGGCCCCTCGGGACGGCCCCAGGACAGCCACTGTGCATGTCCCGGAGGAACCCTAACTAGCCACCACGGGCCGGGGGTCCCTCTGCACTGCTGGCCATTGTTGAGAAGCTATTGGGTTGGCTCAGATGTGGTCCCCAACCAGTTGCTGACCAAAAGGATGAGGCTGTGGTAGCTCGGACCAGGCAGATCACAGCCCAGAGACGAACTTGGCCCATTGCCCCTGTAAGTCTCCAAGGGTGGCCTGACCGTGGACAGAATGTGGGAGACTTCCCTCGGGGAAGCTCAGGGCTGGGTTCCTCTGGGGACCTGCGGGGGTGTTCCCAGCTCCTCCCCAGGCCCAGCGGGACGGGCAGCCCGTGTGTCCCTTGGCTTCTAGACACATCGCTCCCCTCTCTGCCTCCATCCTCACATGGCCTGTGCTCAGCCTTTTCTGGTGAAGACGACACTGCCGACTGGGTGAGGGCCCTGTGTGATCCCCAACGGCCTCATCTTAGATTGGTTACCTCTGCGGAGACTTTATCTCCAAATGAGATCGCACTGACAAACTCCAGGTTAAAAAAAGGCAGAAGGCGATTCACCACAGCCTTCTGAGACAACCCTGGGGTACCGAGGGATGGTGGCTCCCACTTCCCTGCCCCGAGCACCCCTGTGCACCCCACCAGCCCACCCCATGCAGGCTGAATGCCATCTGCCTGGCGACCGTGGCCATTGGTCATTTTAGATTGAATGAGGCAAAACCATTAGAATTCTGAGCCGGAGGGAGTCCGCCTCTTCCCCAGATTGCGTCGGCTGGCAGCCCGGTGAGTGTGGGTGAGTGTGGGTGAGTGTGGGTGAGTGTGGGTGATGTGGGCTCCTCCAGCGCCAGCTAAGGGCGCTTGCTCGCAAGGCCACCAGCCGCGCCAGGCCACACCTTCTGTGGAACATGGTCAGCCACAGGGAACACGCCCTCGAGCACACTGTGTGCCTGAGCCCCAGCCATGGGTTCCCACTGCGGTGACCCCGCGAGCTCCATGCCAACGCCCCGTTCCGCAGCCATCTGGAGAGGGGGGAGGAGAGAGCAGAGGCGGGTGGCTGGCAGGATCCGAAGGCTGGGCTGCAGCACCCAGAGAGAGCTGAGGATTTGTGAAGTGCCCCCCAGAGACCCAGTTCCCCAGCCACTCAGTCCGATGGCGTGGCATCATGTGTCCCTCACCCCCAGGCCCACACAGGGCGTCCGGAGACAACGCCCAGGACACCGTCTGGGAGCGGTTTGGGGCTGAACGCAGAGCGAGGGGACTGCAACCCTGGCCCCAGATCCGAGAGCTGAGGGCCGCCCCCGCCCCTCCCATCCCCAGGCAGAGCCACTGTTTTTAGGAGAAGTGGGGGACCTTGGAGCAGATCCCTGAAAGGAACCGGCTGGGTGACTCAGTGGAGGCGGGAACATCGCAGCACCCACGCCCGCTCCCGGCCAGCTGGGTCCATTGTGGCTGTCACAGCTGCAGGGCCCAGACCCCAGAAGGTCCCCTGGGACCGAGCTTGCGCTGAGGAAGCTGTCTGAGCACACGAGGCGCCTGGCCCCTCGCACACACTGTGCACACACACAGCTTGACCAGTGAGCACAGTGAAAGTCAGAACCACACTCAAACCCTGCGTCCTGGTGAAAAGTGTGCTGGCTACACGGACACAGGCTGCATGAGGAAGAGACGAGGCAACCGTGGCCCATTTTCTTCCGTCGAGGTCCCCAAAGAGGAACCCCTATCCTTCCACCTGAACGGCTCTGCAGCCTCTTCTGCAGACGGGCTGGTGGGTATCATTCCATGGCTCCTGCTTCAGAAAGTGAGTCCCAAATGCCAGGTGCCACCAGGCTCTGCTGAGAGATGTGCACACTGTTCACACCACGGCCGAAGCTCCTACCCCCAGCCTCCCAGCAGTCCACAGGTACACATGCACACACACTCATACATGCACACCCAGCATGCTTACACACTCATGCATGCACCTGTGTGTGCACAAACATTACACACATGCTCACCCAGCACAACTGCACACACACCCAGTACGCACACACCCTCATGCATGCACCTGCATATGCACTGCACACACATGTACACCCAACACTCCTGTGCGTGCACACGCACCCAGTATGCACACACACTCATGCATGCACCTGCATATGCACTGCACACACATGTACACCCAACACTCCTGTGCATGCACACACACACCCAGTATGCACACACACTCATGCACGCACCTGCATATGCACTGCACACACATGCACGCCGGCACACATGCACTCATGCACATACACACATCTGAACAGTCTCTTTTCTGTAAAGTAAAGGGCACTCCTGCATCAGGAGGGTCAGGCAGACGTGGGGTGAGTCCTCCTGTTGGAATTTAATCTTTTTTCACACTTGATTCACAGAGAAGCTCATGTCTGATGACACTCAGGACAGATCGATGAGAGGTGCCTGCTGCTGTCCAGACACACAAGCCCCTGTCCAAGGCACAGATGCCCAGGAACAGTCTTGTCGGTAGGACATGGCAGTTGGGTTGTGGACAAGTAAAGGTGCACAGTATGTAGGAACTAGGTAGAGGAGAGAACACGGTGGGGGTTCATCCAGATAACTGAACTAAGGGTGCTAGTCCTGCTGTGCATCAGCTGACCAGTCCTCCCGTGCAGACTCCTTGCCTGCGAGACTGAATGCCCAGGGCCTCCCCTTCACCAGCAAAGAGAAGCGAAAGTGTGTGTGAGCCCCTCCCACCTCCACACCAGGCACGGGGCCACCTTCCTCCCTTGTCCCCACCTCCTTCTGTGGGAGGCCCAAGTGGCACCCGTGGACCTGCAGCACCCTTGGGGGACCTCGCTCCTTGCCCGGGACTGGGCTGCACCTCCCCAAGGCAGATGCCCCACCTGCCTGGTACACCTGAGCCCAGGCCTGGGCGCCACGCAGACCTGGGGCCGCCTCTGCAGATGAGCAGCCGCCCTGCTGCCGAGGACTCGCCACAGGCAGAAGCCCTGGGCTGTCCCCTGAGGCCCCCATTTTTCCAGGGAAGGCAGGAAGTCCAGGATCTAAGGCGAGGGGGGCGGGCGCGGGTGAGTCAGCTGGTGTCCTCCCAGGACTCTAATCGTCACTAAGAAAGGCTTTGCTGATGACAGTGTTTGTGGGGAGTCCGTATGCCTGGGGACAGGCCACTCGTCCAGGACAGGCCGCTGGACACCATGAGCCTCAGCGAGGAACAGGTGAAGCAATACCTGGACCAGAACCCTGGCTTTGCGGACCAGTACTTCGGGAGGAAGCTGAGCCCCGAGAAGGTGGCCCAGGCCTGGGAGGACGGGCTCCCGGCCGAGGCCGCCAGCTTCCGGGAGCTGTGCCAGGTGGAGGAGGGCGTGGCGCTGTTCGAGCTGGTGCGGGACATGCAGGAGAACGTGAACATGGAGCGCGTGCTGTTCAAGATCCTGCGCCGCCTCGGCCCCCTGCTGCGCGCCGACTGCTGCAGCCTCTTCATGCACCGCCAGCGCAACGGCGCAGCCGAGCTGGCCACGCGCCTCTTCAGCGTGCAGCCGGACAGCGCCCTGGAGGACTGCCTGGTGCCGCCCGACTCCGAGATCGTCTTCCCGCTGGACATCGGGGTGGTGGGCCACGTGGCCCAGACCAAGAAGACGGTGAACGTCAAGGACGTGACCGAGGTGGGTCCCAGGCCGGGACTGGCAGCGCCTGAAGGCCCCACTGCCCCGTGGGTGGTCGTCGTGGCCCGTGTGGAGGGAAGGGGTGTCTCCCAGGAGGAGCAGGGAGCGGCTGCAGATGGAAGGGAGTCAGGGGCTCCCCCGTGGGAGAGGGTCGGCCTGGGCACGCACAGAAGCCACGACCTGGCTGAGCCCCTTCCAGTCCCATGAAGTCCAGAGGGGTGCAGCCCAGCAGCCCCTGCCCCTGTGTCCCTGGAGACAGGGGACCTGGGCACAGACCCCCAGACCATGGTGCCTGGAGGGGAAGCAGCCAGACGGCAATCCTCTTAGACGGCCTCTGTGGACCCGCCGGCACCCTGGACCTGGAGACAGTAATCCCCGGGATTAGCCTCGTCTTCACTTCCTTTTTAAGAAATGGGTCATCCGGAAGCAGAGTTCAGCAGCGGGGCGCCTTCCTCCTCGCCCCGTGTCTTGTCCCCTCAGGCCCAGGGGCTTGTTTTCCAGCTTCCCCACCCCCAAGCCTGTACTGTGGGCGCCCGATGGCGGCTCTGGGGTCTGGTTCAATCTTTGGGGCTGCCCAGAGCATGTCCCTCCCCCACCGGACTGTGTCCCTGGGGTCGTCCAGACTTCTCACCATCTCCCAGTGTGCGTCACGCTGGGCCAGGCCTCGTGGGGTTGCTCTGTGCGGTGGGACAGAGACCAGAGTCAGAGCCCATCCAGTGGGTCACACCCCTGAGCAAGTGTCAGGTTCCAGGTGGTTCTACAGGGGAGCCTGAGGCAGAGCCGCCCCCGCTCGGTGCTGGTACCTGTTCCGGGGAGGTGGCGCCTGTGCCCATGGCGTGGACCACGGGGGTGCAGGGCCGCACCCTGTGCAGCTCCCAGACCCAGGGGCTCGCGGGGAAGCAGAGGGGCGACGGCCCAGGGCCCTGTGGCGCAGGCGGGCCAGACCAGGTCCTGGCTCTGTGCTGGTCTCTGACCCTCCACCCAAAGAGCTCTGGGCCCCACATGCCCGGCCGTGACAGTCCTGCGTGGAGCCGAGGTGTCCAGGCCCAGGGTGGCAGCTGGAGGGGTGTGGCTGTGGGGTTGGCGTTAGGGACAGTGGGGGTCTGGGGATGCTGACACGGTCAGGGCAGCGGGATCAGAGGGGACACATTACAGAAGTCATAGGCTTACCATCCCACTAGGTCTGCGTGAGAGGTGACACCTGGGTCCCCTCTGGGAGGGGGTGGGTGCCAAGCCCTGGGACGGAGGCACGGGGCAGGTAGTTCTGGGAAGGAGGTTAGGCCCAGGGGGCCTGAGGCTGCATCTGCTCAGAGACAAGTCTGGCTCCAGGGCTCCAGCTTGCACAGCACCACAGCGCAGAGCGTCCAGGCTGGGCTCTGGGGCAGCGGAGCCTGACTCCGCGACGGAGCTGCTCAGGGTGAGGGTTTGAGAGACAGTGGAGCAGGATAGCGCAGGCGGGAGCCCAGCCTCACTCCCAGGACGACGAGTCGGCACGGATGCAGGGACGAGGAACTCAGCCCACCTGAGCCCGTTAGTGGCCGCTCAGTCAGCGTAGCTCCTGGCCAGAACTTACCCAGCCCCTCCAAGGCTCTGCTCACCTGGGTGCACTGTGGCCGGCACCAGGCGCTGCAGCCTCGGGCCCCGGGCGGAGGCCCAAGGGTTGGAGCCAGAGCAGGTGTTTGGCACCTTTGTGGGTCCCACGGGCATAAGGACAGTCAGACGGTCGGGCAGCAAAGCCACAAACGTGGGCAGCCCAAGTGACAGAGCTTTGAAGGGACCTGAGAGGATGGTAGGCAGAGGGGCTGAGCACGGAGACCTTCCTGCGCTCTCGGGACACAAGGACCCAAAGCTGCCGGCAAGTCCCTGCACCGGCTTCCTGCTGGTCAGAGCTGAACCCTGTGCAGCCGATGCTGGTGCTACTGCTGGTGCCACAGGGCTTGCCCACAGAGCTCCCTCCCACGCCAGGGGGCACGTGGCCACAGGTGAAAAGGGGGAGGATGCCCCAGCCACAGGCCCGCAGGAGGATGAGAGCTGCCTCCCTGCAGGGCTTCCTCCTACCCCCTGGCCCGTAGCCTCCCAGGCCAGACAGCCCCGCGAGGAGAAGCCTCAGGAGGCCACAGGGGGTCCATCACCCCTTGCCTGCTCCGCGCCTTGAGCAATCCTGAAGAAGTTCCTGTAACAGTAAATAATAACAAACACTGTGTGGAGCATGTACAGGGATGTCCTTGCACAACCCAAGTGGATGGAGGACAGGGGCTCAGATGTCCTTCCCTGGCCAAAGCGCACAGTGTGTCTGATGGTGCCGATGGACGTGGCCACTGCACCAGGTCACTCTGGCTCCTGTGAAAACATCTCAGCACTCGAGAAGCAGGAGGGTGAGGCCAGGGTCGCACACACTCTGCAGGACAAGTCCAAGTCACCTGGGGCCCTTGGTCCTGGACCGGGGCTAAACCAGGGCTTGCTGACCCTTCCTTTGTGGACAGAGAACTCAGAGCCCCTCCACCACCCCAACAGGGAGCGGCCCTGAGCAGCTGCTCTGGGTGGTGGGGCCCACCCTGGGGCAGCAGAAACCAGCTGGTGTGTGGACAGATCCCGGGGTGCAGTGGGCTCTCGACCCCCACCCGCTGGCTGTCCCACAGACACGCCCCTCAAACTGGTGCTGGCCATTCATTCAGTCACACTTACGTTTGGCGGAGGGTCGTGTGGGGCTGGCCCAGGAGGCTGGAGGCAGGAGGACCTGCACCTGGAGTAGGAGAGGCTTGGGACGGGCACCCAGGGGACAGGCGGGCACAGGGCGGGAGGTGCTGTGAGGCCTCTGCAGAGTCTGGAACCCACAGCCGGGGTCATGGGCTCCAAGGCGGGTGACAGGGACTGCGCCAGGCTGTGTCCAGGCTCCAGACGCCAGGGGCAGGTCGCTGGGTGTCACACTGGCCGGGAGCCTCCGTGGAGGCTGCCCACCCCTGGCCCCAGCAGCAGCCTCTGTCTCTCCTCCCGTCTCCTTGCAGAATGCCCACTTCAGCTCCTTTGCTGACGAGCTGACCGGCTACGTGACGAGGAACATCCTGGCCACGCCCGTCATGAACGGCAAGGACGTGGTGGCCGTGGTCATGGCCGTGAACAAGCTGGACGGCCCGTGCTTCACCAGCGAAGACGAGGACGTGAGTGCAGCCATCGGCATCCGTCCGTCTGTCTGTGCAGGGCATCTGCATGCACGCGGGGACCTGGGTGCCCCACGGCGCCGTGCTGAGACCCGCAGACGCACGGCTGGAAACCAGGCTCACACTCCTGCTGTCGCCTCTCCTCCAGGTTTTCCTGAAGTACCTGAACTTCGGCACATTGAACCTGAAGATCTACCACCTGAGCTACCTGCACAGCTGCGAGACTCGCCGCGGCCAGGTACCTGCTCTCTCTGAGCAAAGACGGGGGCTGTGTTCACCTGGGCAGGTCCCTGGGCGTGGTGCGCGAGAGCGGTGTGTGTTGCCATGCGTGCTGGGGTGTCAGAGGCTGGGCCTCCACCTGGCTGCCATCCTGCTGGCCATGGGACCCAGGTGGGTGTGGGCACCTGCAGGTGCTGAGGGCACTGCCCGCCTGCAGGTCGCCCAACCTTCTCCGGAAGGAGCTGGGAGAATTGTGGGCGGATGACAGGAACAGTCTGTCGCTCTGCAGGCCCAGGTCCCTGCTGGTCCGGGTCCAGTGTGAGCCCGGGTGTCAGAGCCTTGGGGTGCGCCCTGGGGAGCTAGAGCACAGCAGCTTCTGTTGCCTGGGGTGCTGCCGCCCACTGCGCCTGGTGAGCGAGGTCAGACCTTCTCCTCCGGCCCCCCGACAGGGGCCTGCATTGCAGTGCAGTCTGTGTTTTCTGTTGGACTCTGCCGTTCTCACCGAAGATTTCTAAACCTCATGCTTTCAGGTTAGTGCTTGGTGGCCAAACTTTTCTGTAGGTCTCGACAAATGCGTCATGGCATATATCCACGATTCTAGTCTCAAAGAATGACTTTGCCCCTAGAAATCCTCTGGCTCTGCCTCTTCACCCCTCTCCCCACCTCCCTGACCCCTGGCAAACCCCGATCTTCCCACTGTGCCCGCAGAGCTGCTGTGGCCGGAACCGCAGTGTGCGGACGGCTCGCCCTGGCCTCTCACTCAGCCGCGAGCCTTTCCGGCCCCTTCACAGCCTTGGCTCAGTCCCTCGGTGCTGACAGCACCCGTGTCTGGACGAACCGCGGCGTACTGACCCATCAGCTAGCGAGGGGCTTCTTGGTGGCTCCTAGTTGGGGGCAATTACAAATAAAACTCTTATAGACATTTGTGCGGACCTGAGTTTCCGGTTCGGCCGAGGCAGTCCGGGGGGCGTGGCTGCGGACGCGGCTCTGTGGCTGCCCCACTGGGTGAGGAGCCTGGCCCTGGTGTTGCCACCTGCTTGGATTTTCGTCACTCTGCCGGTGTGTCTCGGTGCTGTTTTGATCTGTAATTCCCTCGCAACAAGTGACGCTGAGCATCTTCTCAGACACCTACTCGCCATTTGGACGTGTTACTCTTCGGAGAGGTAACTGTTGCCCATTTTAAAATTAGGGTTTCTGCCCTGGCTGGTTTGGCTCAGCGGTTAGAGCGTCGGCCTGCCGACCAGAGAGTCCCGGGTTCGATTCCCGCTAAGGGCATGTACCTTGGTTGCAGTTTGCCCCCGGCCCCGGTTGGGGTCATGTGGGTGGCAGCCACTCGATGTGTCCCTTTCACATCAATGCCCCCCCCCCCCCCGCTCTATCTGAAGATAAATGCAAAAATGTCCTCGAGTCCGGCTGGCTCAGTGGTTGCGTGCATCAAGAGGTCGCCGGTTCGATTCCCAGCCAGGACACATGCCCAGATTGTGGGCCTGATCCCCAGTAGGGGGCGTGTGGGAGGCGGCCAATCGATGTTGTCTCTCATCGATGTTTCTATCTCTCTCTCCCTTTCACTTCCTCTCTCTCTAAAAATCAAAAAAAAAAAATTTTTTTTTAAATGTCCTCGAGTGGGGATAAAAATAATAAGAAAAATAAAGTTCAAGATACAGATTTTTCCTTCATGGATTCTAGTTGGGTGATGTGTCTTGAAACCCATGGCCTGCACGCAGCACCCTGCGCGTGGGGTGGATCTGCTCCGGGCTCTGCATCCTGCCACGGGCCCACGTGTCTGCTCGCGCCAATGCCATCCTAATTTTAAAAATATATATTTTTATTAATTTTAGAGGGAAAGGAAGGGAGAGAGAGAGATGGGAGCATCGATGGGAGGGAGAAGCGTCAATAGGCTGCCTCCTGCACGCCCCCTACCGGGGACTGAACCCGAAACCCAGGCATGTGCACTGAGGGGGAACCGAGCCCGGGACCTTCTGCCGCATGGACTGGGCTCCACCCACACAGCTGGCCAGGGCAGTGCCCTCCACACTGATCACGAGTGTTGACGTTGGGGACACCAGCCCCTCACCATCTCTTTTCTTCAGTCTTGTGCTGGTTAGGCCCTGCTTCTGCCTTCTCTTGTGCACTTTAAAGTCATCTGTCGACTGACACTCTCATCAAAATGGCCTTGGATCTGCGCGGCAAGCTGGGGAGGAGACACACTAATAGTCACCAGACACGGAGCACAGCTACTTCATATGTTCTTATACGGGTTGTGTTACTATTTGGTTAAGAATTTTTGCATCTGTGTGTATGAGAGATTTTGGTCTGTAGTTTTTATTTCTTGTAATGTCTTTTTTTTATTTTTTATTCTCACCCAAGGACATTTCTGCAACTATCGTCAGAGCAGGAGGGAGAGAGGGAGAAAGAGAGAGAGAGTAACATCAATGGAGAGAGACACATCGACCGGCTGCCACCCACACGACTCCAACAGGGGCTGGGGATGAACTGCAACGGAGGTGCATGCCCTTAGCGGGAACCGAACCCCGGCCTCTCTGGTCCGTGGGCTGATGCTCCAACCGCTGCGCCAAACCGGCCAGGGTCATTTCTTGTAATGTCTTTACCTGGTTTTGGTATTAAGGTCGTGCTGGCCTCAAAGTGTTGCAGGAAGTGTCCCGTCTGTTTTCTGGAGGAGACTGTAGTCACTTGGCACAGTTTCTCTCCTGGGTATTTGGTGACATTCACTGGTGAGCTCACCAGGACCGACTCCTCCTTTCAGAGAGGTTATTGATTGTTGACCCAATGTCTTCAGTAGCTATGGGTCTGTTCCAGTTATTCTATTTCTCCTTGTGTGTGTTGTTCAAGGCATTGAGAATTTCATCTTATCTAAGTTATAAATTCAGGGGCGTCGAGTTGTTAATATGTGTTATTTTCTTCCACTTGCTTGAGGCTAAAATTGATCTTGTTTTTCTGGCTTACCAAGCTTACATTACTGGCTTTGGTGTTTTGTCCTGTAACGTGTGCCTGCAAAGCAGCCAACATCCCCCCGCACAGCTTTCTGCACCCACCGATTTCGACGTCGTATTTTCATTTAGTTCCAAGTGTTTATAAATGTCTCTTGCGCCTTCCTGGACCACGTGTTGTAGGAAAGTCTGTTCTTTAATCCACTTTGGAATTTTCCGGCTATGTTTATGCTTCTTTTTCTAGTTGAGTTCCATGATGGTGTGGCAAGGTGTTCTTACGCTTTTTCTCTTGAAGCTTTGTGGAGATGCGTTTTGAGGCCAGGACCTGGTCTGTTTCCGTGCTCACGCGGCGCACGCGGGCCTGGCTGTGGAATGGAGTGAGCCTCACCGAGGCCTAACGTCCAGCGCTGGTTGGTGCTGCTGGTTCTTCCTGATCTCTGCCACTGACCTACGAGCTAGGGAAGAAGACGGTTGACATCTGCCGCTACCACCACGCATTTATCTGTGCTCACCTTCCATCGGGGGTTGCTCTGTGCGGTTCACTGCTCCGCTGTCTGGAACACACACGTTAAGAACGGTGACGTCTCTGTGCAGACAGGTCCTCTTGACCGTTCGGTGACATCCGTCTGAAGTCTGCGTCGTCTCAGGTTACCGTGGCAACTCCAGCTCCCCTTCGACTGGTGCCAGCATAGTACGTGTTTCTCCATCTCTTCACCTGTTTCCAGGTATTTTCGACGCGGTATCGTGTGTGTAGCATGGAGTTTACTATGCTCACCATCTGTAAGTGTCCAGTTCAGTGTCAGCAAGTACGTTCTCGCTGTGCAACAAGGAGCCCCCAGCCTGCAGACCCGTGGTGTCCGGTTAACTGCTTGCGTTTTCGAGGAGCAGCCACGCTGACCTCACAGCTGGGCCCTTTCTCCTCCTCCCCACAGCATGCAGGCGTGAAGTGGGGTGTCGCTGCACTTGTGACTTATGTTCCTCTAGTCACCGTGATGTGGAGCATCTTTTCGGGTGCTCACTGGCCATTTGTGTCCCTTCCGTGGAGAAATGTCTGTTCCAAGCGTTGGCTATTTTGAATCTGGTTGTTGAGTTTTAGGAGTTCTCTGTATTGTGGATATTAATCCCTTATTAAATTGATGATTTGCAGATGGGTTGTGTTTTTACTCGACAGCATCCTTGGATACACAGAAGTTTATGATGGTCTGTTGCAGGTGTCTCTAGTGTCAAATGCAAGAAATCGTTGCCAAATCCAGTACAGTGAAGCATTTATTGTTGTTTTCTTCTAAGAGTTTTGCAGTTGTAGATTTTATGTTTGGGTTTTGTGTCCAGTTCATTTTAGCACATGGTGTGAAGTAAGGCTCCGAATTCATTCTTCTGCATCTGAATATCCAGTTTCCCAGCCCCGTTGGTTGAAAATACTGCTTTTTCCTCATTGAATGGTCTTAGCACAGTTGTCAGAAACAATTTGACCAGCCCTGGCTAGTTTGGCTCAGCGGTTAGAATGTCGGCCTGCGGACCAGAGAGTCCCGGTTCGGTTCTTGCTAAGGGCACGTGCCTTGGTTGCAGTTCATCCCTGGCCCCCGTTGGAGTTTTGCGGGTGGCAACCACTCGATGTGTCTCTCTCACATCAATGTTTCTCTCTTTCTCTTCCTCCCTCTCTCCTTCCCACTCTGAAGACAAATTTAAAAACAAAAACAAAAACTATCTGACCATGTAGTCAAAGATCAGTTTTGGACTCTGTTCCACACCACTGCTCTATACTCTGCTCTTGAGGCCAGTGCCACACAGTTTTGATCAATGTAGGTTTGTGATATGTTTTCAATGAAGGGTGAGTTCTCCACGTTTGTTCTCTGCTACACTGTTTCACCTGTTCAGGGTCTATTGAGATTCTGCATGACTCCTAGGGATGGGCTTTTCCACATCATCATGGTCTGATAGGGACTGCACTAAATCCGTGGTACCTCGGGGTAGTATTGAGGTTTGGTAATATTGAGTCCTCCGATTCTATATATTTACATTTTCTTCTATTTATTATAAAATGAGTATTTTTATTATTGATTCCAGAAAGAGG